CGAGCCTGACTTCTGCTCACAGAATTACTTTTTTATTCCAACAAAAATTCCCGGAAAGTAAAAACGGAAGTACATAATACTGTGAAGAGGAAAGAGAACGAAACATGCCACTTGATATCATCAAGTCTGACTTTTTTCAATGAGTTTTATGATTTCAACAGAAAACTGAGGAAAACAGAAGTAAAGAACGAAAGTACACTATTACTATTTGAACTCTATACAGGTGAAACTGCACTTATTTCACCTTTGCTGCAAGGCACATAAAAAGCCATTTAATGGCTTTTTATAATAGTAATCAAATCAAATTCCATCAACAAGAAAATCATCCACTGACTGTAAAATATCAAGCTGTTCTCTACTACCAAATACCATTATTCTATCATCACCTATGATATCAACATAAAAAATATCATAAGAAAATACATTATATTGTAGATTCAGATACCTTACCAGCCCCATATCACAACGTAAAAATTGATCTTAACGCAAAGTTGTTGTTAATGAAATTGGAACCGAAACAAAATTTGGATCATTCGGTGCTGATGGTAAATTTTTTTCTTATCGCAACATCCGAATTTAGGAACGAGAGACAGACATTTTGAAAAGACACAACGTATAACGGTACTGAAAGCTATTTTTGTGACAATCATCTCTGTATACTGTAATAATAATCTTTCATATTCTTGGACGAAAATCAGTTCCTCGCGCTTGTATTAAAAGAAAAAATGATGCATGTTGGTCTTCGGTTGTTTTCGGATTGACAACAAAAGAGTTTAGAATAATTTCAGATTCAACCAAACAATATTCTATCATAATATTCGCGCCGTTGAGCCATTTTTAAACCGTCAGGGTATAATAATGCAAAAAGCTGTACCCATCGAAAAACGTATTATCGTAGCTTTGTATACGTTATCTTGCACAGCGCAATTTCAAACAATAGCGAACTTATTAGGGACTGGCAAATCAACGATTCTAGAACGGTTGTACAATTTCGTTAACATCGTAAATTATGTTACCTTGCCACAGACTATATAATATCCGACGTCGTTAACCGAAATAACAGAAAAAATTACATTTCTAGACTTGCAAAACGATATAACTGCTACTTCTACTGGAAGTTCTATATATACGCACAATAGGATACCTCCTCATGTTTCACCCAGGTAATCGATCGTAGTAAGTTGTTCTTTAATAATTTATAGTTGTCAGATATCTTAGACGGGTAAAACATGAAACACACTTGTGGCAAGTTAAACATGAAAAGATTCTTATAGCATTATGCGCCGATTCGATTACTGATTTAAGAGCATTCAAACACAATGTGCTAGTTTACGAGAAAATGGCTACAAGTTTGAATGCATATATTAAAGAAGATAATGTCACTTATACGTCTAGAGGTGCAACTTTGATCTCAAGGTATCAAAGGTAATTGTAATGCCACTATACCATCTGTTGCTGCTCTTGGAATTGCATATCCAATTGTCACATATATAGTATCCTTTGCAACAGATGCACCGCTACCAATTGGCGTATTTTCAATACACCATTCGTACAAAACTTCACCATTCGTATTGTTCAGTCCATAGAGACATCCTTTGATTGAAATGTCTCTAGT